GGAGCACTGGGTGTTATGCACGAACAATGAATCATGGAACACTTCATCTAGAACTAATGATGTAATGTATGGGGATTAACATAAGAATAAAAAAAAAAAATGAGAATGCACACACAGGTGTGGGGGAGAGCAGCCTCACAGTACCTCTGCTCCAAGCTGAGCTGCATTTGAACCCCCTTCTGCCCAGCCAGGAGCCAGGGCTGACCTTCCCTCTGGGGACAGAGAAGGAGGCCTCAAATCTGAATCTCAAAACTCTCAGGTTTCAACACTAACCTATGCCCACAATTTTCAAAACATCATTTGGGGCCAGGTATTTAAAATCTCTTCCTATAAAGTAAACAGAAGTCTTAGAACTAAGACAAACCAGCTCCTGCAGAAGCCAGTTGACTGTGGGTCCCCCAATCTCAGGCTTCTGCAAACCTTCTCTACATGGGGACCTTCGGGCCTGAACTCTAGGCGACCTTAACTCTCTAATATGTCAGCTGTTTTATTATCCCCAATCTGCTTTATGAACTATACCTCACAGAAGACAATGCTTGACTTTAAATAACTCTTACACCAGCCACAGTGGCACCAGAAGGAAAGGGCCTGAGCCAGTGAGCCAGCGTGAGGCTACTCTGATTTCTGGAAGCCAACAGCTCATGTGCCTTTGTCCTCCACAGAGACACATCTGCCAACCACACTACTGCAGACGTCTGGCTACAGCTGCCTGTAGAGCAGGTCCTGTGGGCATGCTGCTTGTTCTAGCAACCTAACTCTGCCCCTCACCCCCACCCCATGAAAGACTTCGCTCTAGACCGAGCACAGCAAAGCCCGACCTGGGAGGGGACTGGCCAGAGAGCCATTTGGTAGGATTCAAACAGATGAAACAAAACACCCACATGGAGATGGTGTGACTTACCATAGGTGGTGGACGTCAACCAGCGATGACCTGAAGTCTCGTATTGCCATTTTTTTTTTTAAGATTTTATTTATTTATTTGACAAAGATAGAGAACACAAGTAGGCAGGGCAGCAGGCAGAGGGAGAGGGAGAAGCAGGCTCCCCACTGAGGAAGGAGCCAGATGCGGGGCTCGATCCCAGGACACTGGGATCACGACCTGAGCCGAAGGCAGACACTTAACCGACTGAGCCACCCAGGCGCCCCTTGCCAACCCAATTTTACCTGCGTTTTTAGACTTAGAGCTTTACTCTGCCTCGGAGAGAATGACTCTGACACAGAGGGAAGCTGTGACATCATCTAATGTTATTCTCACTGAGAAAATGTAAAGTTAAGTACCCAGGATTCTAAGACATATCAGAATTAGGACCGAAGAGAAAAAATACTTACTGTTCAAGGTCTCAAAAACTGAGCAAAACCAGTCAAAATTCTGACAGTCTTGCCCTGAGTGTTCTAGAGCTTTTTCCCTGGCCATGCCCCACACCTCTTCACTAGCTATACACAGACTCTCAGGGATTCAGCTCTACTGGCCCTGCTCCAGGTGTCCGCCCAGCCCAGCACCTTTAGGGTACAGGTGGGCCCTTGCAGTGATGAGTGCCCCACCACTGTCATGGGGACCACCTGTGAAACTTGAAACCATGATGATACCAGGCCATTCCGAAAGACTGGGAAGCCCAGAGGACTCTGATGTGCAGCCTAGGTCCAGCTCCTGGGCTGGGTGGTGACCACCACAGAGCCAGGTCCTGGGAACACCACCCTGCCTCACCTCCCAGCTTCCCCAGCAGATTCTGAAGTCAGACCACAGGTCCTGACTCAGCGGTGTGCTGGCATGGTGTGCCCAGTGAGTCTGGGCAAGTCCTCTCCACCCGCCCCTGCAAGCCTCAGTCCCCCCCATAAAATGACTATATCTCCTTCCATCAGTAAAACGTAAGTGTTCATGAAAACACTTTCTAAACTACAGACCACCCTGCAAATGCATGTTGATGATAAAAATCTCAAAACAGGGCTTCTGTCCTATGAAAGGCAGTACCTGAGTCCCAGCAGAGTTTTTGTAATCAATAATAAGGAAGCACACAATGAATGAATCGCTTGATTTAATTTTAAGAGCATGTTAGTAATTCACATTAGAGTAAATCTGCTTTATGTTTACCACAAAAGCATACCACATATTTAAACCTTATAAGGCTATATCTTGCACCTCACCATGGCAAATTACCAGATAAAACACAGGAAGTGACACGTTGAGACAGAAAATCAACATCTAAGTCAAAATCAAGACTCCTTTGCTGAAAACTGTGAAAAGCAATTTACCGGCTTCTTTGCACTGGTAAAAAGCAAGCACTAAAAAGTAAAGCCCTCTGTTCTCAATCAAGAAGTCAACTTCTATGCGCTCCACACATTTAAATTGTTTTTTATGGCAGAATGTACTCCCGTACAGCTGATATATGGGGTGCACCACCATCTATTAAAAAGTATTTAATAATCTATACTCAATTTTCTTTCCCTAAAGTAACATAAGTCACATTGAGTCATTCACCTAATACATTCTGGGTCACACCAACTGGACTAAAGCCAGTCTCTGACTCTGTC